TCTCCGCCCGCCAGAATCGCTCAAACGTGTGCCACATGGTCTATGCTCTCTCTCGTTTCCCGAATTTGATTCCACATACATCTGATCTCTAACTGAGTTTTTTGTTTGTTTGTTTGGGCAATCGATGTGGGACATAGTCAGCTCGCCTCAATCCTCAGTCTCCGCCCGCTCCTCTTCAGAGCGCGATCTGTACCGTCGGATGCGCAGAAGACACCAGGAAGACCTCGCCCTCCTCTACAGCCATTCCTCCTCCAAACCGCTCGCCGGGCCCGACCTCCTGCTCCCTAAACCGTCGCCCATCGATGCCGCCCTCTTCGGGATGCTTAATGACGCCCAACGTAGGGCGCTGCGGATCCGCTCCGATATCCTCGCTCAGGTACTTCTTTTTTTTTGGGTCCTTTTGTTTATCTTGTTCTTTGATTCTTCGGCCCGGGGCGGTTGGTGGTGGGTATTGACTTGCTTTTTTTTTCTTTTGTGGGGGCGGGCCGTCATTTGTCTAGAATTTGAAAACTCATCTCGAATCTTTCGCCTATGAGATGATCCAATCTAATGTGCTTCATCAACACCAACACCACCATCACCAACAACCACATCATCATCCACAACAACCACATCATCATCATCATCATCATCATCAACATCAACAACAACACCAGCACCAGCAACAACACCAACAACAACTTTATAACTTCGGCGTAGGCGCTTATTGAATCACTGCACTTCTCTTTCTTTCTCCATCTCTTAATATCCAAAAGGACACAAAATAACATCCAAAAAAGGTTTATCCTCATTTTTACTCCACACATACAAAAAAACATCCTTTTTTTGACATTTTTGTTGGACACTCATCATCTATATTGCTTAGTCTTTGTTCTCTTTTTTTTTTTTTTTTGAGCTGATCCATTTTTTTTTTGATTGCTTCATTTTATCAATCTGCTCGTCTTTTTCTTCTTCACTTATAACATAACATCATCCCCGTTTTTTTCTTATTAGATGTATGTATGTATGTATGTAATCCCTTTTTTTTCGAATTTGTATAGTGTTTTTTTTTCTTCTTCTTTCCTTAGTGTTAGTTAGTTAGTTATTTAAGATAGATATAATAGGTTTACCGATCAGATAGACACTTTGATTCATCCGAAATTAAAAATGCAGGTGCATGGGTCATACTTCTTTGTTGTTGGTGTGCTTGATGTACCAGTTTAGATATGTCCTTTTTTTGGTGTACTGTTGTCCATCATGAAGAAGATGATGAAGAAGAGCTTAGCCCCACCCCACCCCATCCATTTTTTTACTCATTGACAGACACATATATGTCCATTCCTCCCAGAGAAATCCATCCTGAAGATGCTGCGGTACCGTATTCTCTCTCAATTATCCTGATGTTTACATTTTTATCCAGTTTTTTTTTTTTTTTTTTTTTTTTTTTTTTTTTTACTTTACTTTGTTCAACTGCAACCACGATTAATAATCAAATATGATCATGGGGTTCTCCCATCACTTTTCTTCTTCTTCTTCTTCTTTTTCAGTCTTGCCTACACACATCTATTTCTACTTTTTTTTTGTTTATGCTTAGGTTTATAATGTAGACCGTTAATGTAGACCATATTGATCACCTACATCCACCCATCCATAGTTTCATCTTGACTTTTGTTGACACCAAACATTGCCAGAGTAGTGCTGGGATCAAACTGGACTGATCAACCCACATAGCCCTGTGTAAACCCATAGCAAAAGGTCTCATCAGGGACTTCCGGTTTCAAACTGCAACTGCAACAAAAAATCAGGATTTCAATCCCCCTAGTTGTCATCTAGATTGAGTTTTTTTTTTAGACCTTTCTATATTCAAGTCAGGTTCCAAATAATCGGCCGGGCTTGGGTCAAAAAATCGTGACCAAACCCGCCCCGCCAAATTCTCGGGGCGGGGCGGGGCAAAAATGGCAAAATGTTGACCAAACCCAGCCCAAATACACCGTGCCTTGGGTCGGGTCTTAGGTTGGGTCTTGGGTTGGGTCCGGGTCAACCCAGCAAATGATCAGTTAATTCCTTTCAATCAGGTCAGTCGGTCAATCTCAAGCCGACCCAAACACAATCTGTCCTGATCACACCTGCCCCGCCGACCTGTCGGGTTGAATCCGGGTCGGGTCAACTTCCAACCCTAGCCTGCTCAAACCCGCCCTGTGACCCGGCCGGGCGACCCGACCCACTTGGATCCTGATATTCAAGTCTTTAAACAATCCTATCTCCATTGTTCCAACCAGCCCACATCAGAGCCATCGCTAGAAGGCTTACTGAAAAAAAAAATACATATTCTTTTTTTAACCCAATCATCGTGATCTGAGGGGGCATGTCCACTGCAGACTTCTGGAGTGGGAGGGTTGTATGTAGATTGGGACTGGAAGTCAAGATGTTCGGAGTGTATAGCTGCCATGAGATTGAGGATGTGCCCTTAGCAAGCAGGAATTATATGCCGGGCTCAAGTGTGATTCCCCAAATTGCTCTTTTAACACTTCAAGGAAGAAGGACACAGTGAAAGCGGATGTGGCGAGCCGCAAGACATGGCCGGAATGGAAGCCCGAAAGGACAAGCGTTTTCCCGACCTTTGCGCTTGAGCTTGATGGCACCGCCATGTCTGTAACTTCCTTCCGCACGATGTGGAAGTACACGCATCACAGCACAACTGAACACAACCAGTTCGGAATTCAGAATGTAGATCTTGGTGCGTAGACCGATACACGCATCCGACTCCCGAGGCTGATGTCGATTCGCCAATAAGAAATGGCAGGCCATGTAAAGACGTACAGATAAACACAAGTTACAAATGTACCAAGCCCTGTGAGTGCCCCCTCTGAGTCAAGAGGCGAGAGTCGAGACGGGTGGTGGCAAACTGCAGTCTTAACGACCGAAGATGTATGGATGCATGCTACAAATAATCGTCGACAACGATCTAATGGCTGGGTCGTCTTCGTTACTCATGCGCTCGCCTTTACACCTCCCCCTTTTTTTTGGCTTTCTTTCTAGTTTTTCTGGTTCGCTACATTTTCCATTAGTGAAGAAGCCCCTTGAATTTAGGAACATCGCCCATTGGCTCCGTCCCCTCAATATCCTCTTGCTTAGTTGTCCATCCTTCTTCGGTCAAACTTGTATTGCTTAGATCCCTCAGTTTTCCTTCATGAAGGAGGTCCTGGAGTCCTTCCTAACTACCATTTCGAATTAAGATACCATCATTCTGGCACTCAACTCTTCCCATTATTCCCTTATTATCACAGTCCTAGGAAATCTTCGGTAGGCCGTTTTGTGTTCTGGTTTTGACTGCAGAAAATTTCCCTCTGGATTAAGCTCACCTGCCACGATATTCATCAGGCAATCATTGACGACGGAAATTGAACACCAAGAGTCACCGAAGCTTTTCCTATTTACCTCAGTCTAGCGCTGGACAGTGAAGTGACCTCAAAGCAAGCGAGGTGGGATCCATCAATCGTAAATTCAGCTCAGCCAAAAAAAAAAAAAAGATAAAGAAGAAGAGAAACCAGCATGGCCGAGAAGTCTACCTCGACGCCACCCTCGAAACTCCAAGCCACCAGTGCCCGACTGCAAACCAGCATTCGCAGGGAGCCATTAGCAGCCTTCAGAGTGTTTTTCTTTGTCCTAATCTGGACGCTAGCCCTAGCGAATGTGGTGATTGTAGTTCAAGAATTCCAGGACTCGCTCCCATTTATAATCGGCGTAGGCGGGCGCAGACGGATAGGGATCGAGGACTCTAGACGGCAAGCTTTGCCCGTCATCATCGCGCCTTGTGTCACCCTCATCATCCTCATCCCGATCGCCGTCGGACTTCCCCTGTTCGGGATCGCTGGCTTCTTGTCTCGATACATCATCGAAGCACTATGGACTGGCTTGATTGTAGTGTTAACCTTAGGTAAGCTTCCTATCAGCTAGATCGCCAAAGGTTTGATACATGCGTCGATTTCTGAGCGCGAATTACCCACTCACAAGCGGATTGCTAACGACAGTCTTGTTTTCGTTAGCTGGCGCTGCGTCTCTCTCTCCGCAACCAACTTCACCCTTACTACCCAGAACACTCCAATACAATCTTTCTCTTGTTCTTGCTCTCTCCTTCTTCATCGTGATTTTCCTCAGCTTTTACAACATCATTCTACTATGTCGGATCAGTTTCTTGCTTGGGAAGGGCATCCCGAATCCGCTCCACGCACCGGTGCCATCCTTATTATTTAGAATGAAAACCCAAGACAGTCAATCGGGAGACGAGCAATCGGAAAAGGTCGAGGATCAAACCCAACAGGCAACTCCTGCCGAAATCGCGCGGGTCGACGAGAGACTCGAAAACGGATCTATCAAGACTCTCAGCTCCGGATGGGACGACGAGGACGACGGTAAGCCAAACAAGGCCCCCAAAAATGAATCCGGCTTCGCAAAAGCAAGAGCAATGTTTTCTTCTCCATTGAAGAATTCTCCTTCAAAATCTTAGTTCTCAGAAAACAAACAAAGTGACCCCATCAATTTAATCTTTCTACCCCTGTAAAAATTGTGGACATTTCTTCATTTCTTTTTTTTTTACTCCATTGGACTCAAGTCTTGACATTATTATTATTAAGATTACTTTATTTCTTTGGATTTCATGATGATGATGAAGAAGATGATGATGATATCATATCAAAGAGTATAAAAAGGTTTGATAATTCTTGTGAATTTTTTGTTTGTTTTTGATTTTTTCATGGATGATACTTACTCCAACACAAAGGAACAATGACAATGTAAATACTCTTCAGTTATCTCTTGTTTTTTTAGTGGCCAATATGGATTAGTCCTTCCAATATGGTGTATACTTAATCTTCTCTCCACTTTGAGATGATCCCTTTTTCTCTTCCCTCCAAGTACAATTTTCCAACACATTTATCCATGTACGGGTTTTTTTCCCATTTTTTTTGGTACTTGACTTAAATGCAAAATAATTTGAGAATGAGTGAGACCTGAAAAATGCCAAATTAATAAATAAGTGATAAAAAGATAATGAATGTTCCCCGATTCATTCACTTTTCTTTCACTGAGTGCAGAATCTCTACTTGACTGAAACCACTCAGCATGAGATTTCATAACATTATCTATCACAAGATGTTAGAATGCCACCCTGCCACATCTTATCTTTTCTATCTCTTGTTACTGACCAGCTTTGGCCCAGAGCTACGTCTCAATCATCCCAAGATCTGCTTCCTACCCAAGCTTCCTGGGGGTACTTTCTTGATATGTACAACTGTAATATTTATGTATGGAATGGAAAATAGAGCTGGTCTCTGGATATCCGTTGCGGATATCCGTTATCCGCTGTAGCGGATACCCGCCAGCGGATGCGGGTTTGGGTGCGGATGTGCCCTTTCCGCTGATTTTCCAGCGGATACCCGGGTATCTCAACGGATACCCGAGGCCGGAAGGGCAGATGGCCAGCTGGAAGGGTTTCCTTCCAGCCGGCGAGGTACATGTACCTCGACAGCTGGAAGGAAATCCTTCCAGTCGACAAGGTACATGTACCTCTTCGACTGGAAGAGAAACCCTTCCAGCCGGCGGGGTACATGTACCTCACCGGTC